GTTTAGTTGAAAACACAAAAACAATGCATGACAGTATTCTTTGAAAAGTAAATCGAAATGCTACTACTGCATCCTAAGGCCAATTAGACAGTATTCAGAGAATTAACAAAGGCAGCAGAATTTTACAGTATTCAAACATTTACTTTAACTTTTTAAATGTCACTGATAAAGGTAAGAGAACTGTTGCCAAGTGAAGTAGAACGTCCTTCCGACTCCATGGGCTGATCTGCTGCATGTCCTAAAGCGACGCTCGAGCTTCAGAAGATGAAGCCCATGCCCTCTCTAGCTTCTCTGCTGCAATCTGGCAGCTTTGAACTTCGAAACTCTCTTTGCAGGTTCTTCCGATGCTTCTGACAGAACTTCTTTTCGCTCTGGAATAGTGGGTAGGGCATGATGAGCAATGGTTGAGTGTGGTGCTAAGGAGGGCGATGAAAATTCTTTTTCTATTACAGTTCCAGAAAAAGCCTGTAAGACAAAAGTGTATGCTGTTAAATATAAATAAAATGCACACAAAAATCTTTACTTCCATTACCAAGACTTTTTTTTAACTAAAACTAAAGTAACAATAATTTTGGGTAATAAACATCAAAATATTGGTTGCTCGGAGAAACAAAATAATATTATTTTTCTTCTCTATTTTTTGCTTGTTTGCTTTTTGAGACAGCGTCTCTCTGTGTAGCCCTAGCTGTCCTGGAACTCAACACATTCTGTAGACCAGGCTGGCCTCAAACTAGGAGATCCACCTGCCTGGGATTAAAGGCATGTGCCACCACCACTCGGCTTAACATTATTTTTCTTAATTATGCTTTCAAGTACACAGTTTTTTTTTTTTTATGGTGGAAATATAAGGAAACAAAATGTAAGCTGGGTGTGGTGGCTCCTGTCTTTAATGCCCCACACCCAGGAGGCAAAGGCAGGCGGACTTCTTTAACTTCAAGGTCAGTCTGGCCTACAGAGTTCCAAGACAGTCAGCACTACACAGAGAGACCCTGACTCAACAACAACAACAACAAAGTAAAGAATCTCTTCTGTCTTAGAAAACACAAACGACAAATAAAGTCCCCCCAAAAACACTTCATTTTCTCCAGCTCGCTGTCAAACATCTAGAAAACACAGAAGCTACAATGGTGTAAACAAGGCTTCTGGCCAGGCTACCTTGCTTCTGCTGCCTGACAGTCAAAAGCTTCATTTCACCAATGCTGATATTTCACTCGTGGGTTCATCCATGCAAGTTTTTAAGTTCTTTCTTTATTACACTTTGCCTATACTTTTTGAAGGAGATCGGTAAAAACTAAATAAAAAAAAAACTAAAAACAAACAAAAAAAACACCCAAAAGTGATTCAGAACACCTTTCAAAATTCTAGAATAATCAATCCAATGACACAAATTAGACATGTCACCAAAACACAAACACAAACTCTTTCACTGTGGCTGAGTGTTTGTGGAACATCATTTAATCAAAATCAACTATGTTCAACTGAAATGAGACTAAGTGACACACAAATCGCTTTTGTCTTTTTATATCAAAAAAAAAAAATGAAGACCAAGGAGTCACTTTTTAAAAACTGTCTCATATTTTGAACTTCTCCCTTGCTAAAAATTTAAGTATAAACTGAAAGTTTTGTCTACCAAGTATTGAAAATTAAAACAACATATCACTTAGTTTAGAAACCACTGTCAGCTCTTTGGCACTTTGGCTCAAGTAGTTCACTTTTTCCTATACCTAACTTTTTCTTTTTCTTTTCTTTTCTTTCTTTTTTTTTCCTTTGGTGAAACTGTGTATGTTCCACAATGCACCTGTCCGGGTCAGAGGACAACTTGTAAGAGCTGATTATTTCCTTCCATATGTGGGTTCCTGAGATCAAACTCAGGTTTGTCAGCAGGCACCTTGAACCACAGAGCCCTCCCGCTGGCTGGCTCTCCCGTACTGTCTCTTTAAGACTTTCTGTTGCGTTGCTTCTCTCCACCCCACTGCTCTCCAGCTTATCCCACCACACAGCATGCACCTGCCTCACAGCATCTGAGGCTGAGCTGGCAAGGTCAGAACACTAACTTCTGAACACTCCATGTCATCATGATGAGCATGAAGTCTTCAGATTATCTTTAAAATGTGCCTGAAAAACAAAATAGCGCAAACCGGGGATTTATGGGATCCTCTTTGAATTTTTAGAATAAACCACAAAGAATAGGCCTGTAGGCTATAAAACACAGAACTAAGACACAGACCTCAGACACTCCTGAAGGCAAAAGCTTCTTGGGGTGGTTTTCTTGGGGTTCTTCGGAAATGCTAGCACTGGCGTCAGTGCCCGGGGCCTCCTCCCAGCTGACGCTCCTCAGAACAGCCCTCCGGTCCTCCACGTCAGCAGCGCTGCTCTCGCTTGTGTCGCTACAGACACTGTTCTCTCTGCTGCGCGACTTCAGGATAGACTTCCGGGGGACATATTCTCCATTCACAACGTCCACAAAGACCCTGCAGCAGTGCAGAAACTCATCTCACTTTAAGGGCTCATAACTAAGAAGACCTGCACAAAGATTTCTTGATTTTTTTTCTATAAATTAATCTAGGATTTGTTTTTTGAGGCTATTTATTTGAGACAGTGTCTCACATAGCTGAGCCTAATTCTGTTACCCCCACTTCCCAAGCGCTGGAGTCACAAGTCCCACCAAACCCAACTGAGTTTTCTTGCTAAAATGTCAAGAAGTAAGCTTGTCACTTCACCAAATGTACCTTATTTACTTTCAAAGATGAATTTGGGCCCAAATAAAATATAGTTATGTTCTAGGTGAAAACAGCTTGATTTGCCAAAATTTTATACGCACCTACTTCAAAACATTAGGAATTTTCACCAGTTTGCAAATATGGGTCATAAAATGGAAGGTGACTTCAAGCTGCTCCCCACTCTGACAGGTGAAATACAGGACAAGCTCATGACAGCTGTGGCAGGTAACTTCTACAAGGAACACCAGCCTCCAACTCTCCAGTGACATATGAAGAGGACTTCGAGGAAGAAACCACCCAATACCCCAGCTGTTCATGTGGCAGCTGGCCTCTCAGTCTCCAAGTGAAGCCAGCAAACCACCTCACTCTTTGGTGAGAACTATCCAGTAAGCCAGCGTCTGCAGACTGTAAGAAGAAGGAAAGGTCCACGCCAGACCATCCCTCACCTGTAAATATCAGCGGGGCTCCTGATCGCAGGCAGCTCATGAGTAGCATGGCTGCCAGCACTACTCTTTCGCTTCCGTTTGGCTTCCTCCTTCTTTTCACTGAATTTTAGGGTGGTATTTTTCCCAGTGTTTATTCGAACCTAAAATTGGTTCACAAAGAAAAATAAAATCAAAAGCTTTCAGAAAAAAAAAATCAAATAAACCATATAGTTATCAGCAAGAGACACAACTAAAATTTTTTGGCACTGAAATTATGTATGTGACCAAGTCTGACTCTTCTGTCACATTTCTACAACACTGCATCTCCTTCAACAGCCTATTCTATCACCAGTGTCTTTACCATTGTATGAAAAGCAAAATACATTTAAACTAAATTCCATACTGATTATAAGCTTCGCCTCCCTTGCCTTCACCTTACAAATGCATTTGTTGCTTAATCCTTGTGCCGCTAGCCTGAGTCACAAGTACAACAGCAGATAAGGCTCAAGTGTCTGAACTGCTTAAATACCGCTAACTTCAGAAAACAAATCAGACTAAGAAAAAGCTAAATGTGCTCAAGACCATAAGCTACTCTTCTGTGCTGGTCTGGCATTTATAGCACTCTTTTCGGAACAGTCCTTCGAAGAGTGTGTGCTCGGCTTTATCTAATGAATTAAGAAAAACTGAAAGCATGGGGAAGAGAGAATCAACAATGCTTTAGTTTCAATCAAAACATTTCAAAGACCCTTTAGCTAAGAATTAAGATAAAATACACATAATTATTTCACTTTCTAATAGGGCAGGGATAACTAAAGCTTAAGAAATATCACGTAAGCAGTAAGATGTCTTCTTACATAATAATCAGATACTGCAGACTGCCATACTGACCAGTGGGGAGGTCCCTCACAGCTGACCAGCTCTGCCTTACAGGCCTTCATGCTCCACAACACACATCCCAGGCTCTTCAGCACAGTACACAGAGCAGAGGGAAGGGGGGCAGGGGTAGACTGATGGTAGCCCACCCTTCATCCACAGTTAGTCCACTTTCAACTATTTTAAATATTGGGCTTCTACAGTTAGGTATAAAAGAACAAAGGCTTCTGGTACTAAAGCAAAGTTTGACACAATGGATCACAAGATCTCTAGTCAATCTCAGTTTCAAAATGCTGAAATTCTAAACCCATTATTACATATCTATATTTAATTTGTCAAAAAAGGACCCTTTTTCATCCCCAAATTTTTTCTTGTTGCTCAGGATACCAGTACTCACTTGGTGCCCACATAAAAACAACAAACTGGTGTGTGTGTGTGTGTTTAGTAAATAAATACAAGTCTTATAGCCATTTCCAGATCCAAAAGCAAACCTAATTCCCAAATTTAAAAATTAAATCCTAAATTTAATCCTAAGAGAGCCCTGGAATAAGGGCAGGTGATCCACAATCACTGCATTCAAGTTTAGTTAGTGTGACCACCATCAGCTAACTACTCTTTTCCTTTTTCATTAAAGTGCACTGGTCAGATAAGGGGAAAAAATACTTTTCCTGTTTGTCAATATTAAGAATCTTAATTATTGTTAACATCTCTTTAAAATACAGCATAGATGATGTTTAATGACAACGAAGTTAGAAGTATACACACCCTTTTAGGTTCAACAGTATGAGAGAAATATATTGTTGGTACAGAATTATCTGCTGAAATAGTGTGGTCACTTTCATTTTCATTATAATTATCATCGTCATCATCATCAACATCATCAGCATCTTCATCATCATCATCTTCATCCTCTTCATTGCTATGGTAAGAATTTGAACCATTCACTGAACAGTTAAAATGACTACTCGCTTGACCATTAGGGAGTCCTGCATTTCGAGCATGCATGCCACAGCTGCCAGGGGCAAAGGAGTCTGTCACTGGAGGCACCACATTCAAATCTGTGTCTTCATCTTCCTTTTCCTCCTCAGAAGACACTGTGTCTTCTCCATTTGCAATTCCAGTATCAGGCTTACTAGGTGAAGAAATAAGAACATTAATGAGACCAAACAAATACAGAGGATTAATAAAAGCAAGGTTCTTACACACCTCAGTTCCTGTTGCTACTCAAACATAAGACTCATAAGACATGTATATTTTTATCACTGGACATTGGCCAGATGTAGTATGAATATAATGTAATTTAAGAAAGATGCTGGTTATGCTAGTGCACACCTTTAATTCCAGCACTAGGGAGGGGCAGAGGCAGGCTGATCTCTTAAATTCAAGGCCAGTCTGGTCTCTGTTACAGAGTGAATTCCAGGACACCCAGGGATGCACAGAGATACCCTGTCTCAAAAAAAAAGAGAGGGAGAGAGAAAGAGAGAGAGAGAGACAGAGAGAGACAGAGAGAGACAGAGAGAGAGAAAAAGAAAGAGGAAGAGAGGGGAGGGAACAGAAAGAAGGAAAAAGGAAGAAAGGAAGGAAAGAACGGAGGGAGAAAGGGAAGGAGGAGGAGGGGGAGAGACGGGAAGGGATGGAGTGGGGGAGAGAGGGAAAGAGGGAAGGAGGGAGGGAGGGAGGAAGGGAAAATAATTTTAAGAGGATACCTACCCTATTTCCTGAGACCACTCCTGCTGCACAGGAGTTTGCTCAGTGTTCTCCCCCTCCCCCAACATACACACACACCCTGTCTCTCTTTCTAGTTTCCACTATAAATCTACAATAAAGTCTCTCTTTAAATAAAAATTTTTAAAAATAAGCATTCTATTTGTAAGACCAGAAATTAATGTTCCAAACCCCCAAACTATAAAATACTATTATTTCTTACTTTGGGCATCAGAAATTTTTGTAACAGTATTTACTGAAATTTTTCAAGATAAAGGATTCTTACATGTGCACATGAACACATAGTTACACAAATGCACATTTATCACGTTTTATTCCATGAAGGATCTGAAGACCTTATAAAAATAACCAAACTAAAAATGCAACAAAAATAAAATGACATCATGCAAAAAAGAGAGAATCATGACTAATACTCCTAAATCCAGCACTGATTTTTAAAAATGAGTTAGTACCAGTGATCTTAAAGGACCTAACAATTCATAGGTGGAATAGTAGCAGAAATTTTTTCAGTCCTATTTTTCACAAAAACTAATTACTGTATATGGTACATCATTTAAGCAAAATAATATAGGAACTTCTGTAGGAGAAACTTCATAATATAGCACTCTGATGATTCTAAGTGAGTGTTAATGTGTATTTCAAATAGCAGTTTGGTGAAGTTTCTCATACACAGAACTACCTGACCAGATTATACACTGTCTGCTCAATAAACAGAGAGTTTGTAATGAAAGGCAAGGACAAACATTTTACAGTATCAAATTTAAATTCAAAGCCAAATCTTCTTTTTAACAAGTCACCCAAGAACAGGATGTTATCTTAGAATAGTATAAAATTACATCATTTAAAATTTGTTATTTAGAAGTGGGGGCTGTAGTAGTATAGAATGCTTGTCTTTCAGGATAGAAGCATTAGTTCAATACCCAGCACCTCAAAAAATAAAGTTTGGTCACCCTTAAATTTTTTGTTAGTATTTAATGCAATTACTGACTATCAAGTATAATTACTTCATTATATACCATATGGTGAGATCTGAGTAACACTGAGATTATGGTTTTCAGTATAGGTGTGCATAAGAACAGCAATATAGTTTCCTAAAAAGAAATATTCTGCAAGAATAATATTCATCTGAGAGCAGGACTGTTGATAAGTCTACAGCTGTTGATAAGTCTACAGTTTTCTGTACTTTCTTCAATGAGCACACACTATCTTATAAATGAAGAAAGATGCATATTCTCTTGGAAAAATATATGTCATTAAGCACCTATCAAGTTCACCCAGCAATTCTTCTTGTCTCTCTAGCTCTTCAAGTCGAGCCCACAGTTCCTCATCAGCAAGCAAATCCTTGGATTTTACCTCGTTTTCAAAATCTGCTTCAAAAATATCTGAAGTTTTTGGTTTGGAATGAGGTTTATGAGCAATTCGTTGTTTTCCTATTTAAAAAAGGAAAAAGACAAGACTGTTAGTAGTCTACATGAGAAACTTAAAGTCTAGAACTAGCAAAACCTTCTTTTGGGAAGAGGAGTGTTGAGAAAGAGGGGGCACTTCACAAGTGCATCCCAGTCTCCTGAACCTATTCAATCAGTCTGTTCAGAGAAATATACACACCTTAGGGAGTAAAAGGAGCTACTCTGGGACTTCAACACCACACAAGCACAAAATCAAGATGCACCCTGGTTACAATGCAAAATTCCACCCAAGTAATACCCACTTACCATCCTAACTCAAGAGACTCCATTTACAAGAGTGATATGAAACAC